GCTTCACCCAGTCGGTTTCAATGCAGTCCTTCCAATGGCTAGATTGCCATCTCCACGACGGCATTTACGTCCTTCCCGATGGACACAAATGGGCCCTCAGTGGTTCGTTCCGCAATCCCCTTTTGCTCAGCCCTCACCTGCTCCACCTATTCCTGCATCAGCTAATCCTCCTCACACATCACCCCTTTTGCCGACACCCGCTGGCTCCCATGTTGCACCTCTTTTGCCAACACCCTCTCGGCCTTTGCCTCTCTTCCCAACGCCTTCGCCTCCGTCATTTGCTAATGATCTTCGTCCAGGTCCCCAACTCATAATTCGTACCTCACTCCATCGCCTTCTTCATGAAGCTGCTTCGGGTAACTGGTGTCGTGTCAAGGCTGACATTGAGCGGGCACAACCAGCGTGGCGGGCACGACTTTTGCAATGGCTTTATAACAATGTTTCCAATGCGGACATGACAGCAGACATTCGAGAACTCGAATGCCTCATCCGAAAATCCCAGCATACCCGCCAACGTTACACAGCACAACCACGTGACCCGTTTACTTACCATATTAAGGTCGTACATGTGCATGAGGTAGTTCGTGCCACGAACTTGCACCATGTGCTGCAGTTGCCAGAAGTAGTTGCATTGCACCCTGACCCGCAAGCAGCCGCACATGTTTGTGTATGTGACAAGTTGATGCCACCCACACGTGTCCAATTTTGCAACTTTACTGATGTGGCATTGAGTGTTGCTCCTGACATGACCTTACCAGACTCCGTGAACTGCGAATGCCGCAGGGCCTTTCCGCATTGTTCAGATCTTGTGGACGGTCATGTTGTCTCTGTTGATTACAATATCATCTCAGACGATAACCTTCGCAAGCTTTTTCAAGAAGGTTCTAAATATCGTTTGAACGGGGAGACTGCTGATGTGCTCCAAGCACTGGCGATCGGACTCGATGAGTACATTGCCAGTTACAAGAATACATTTGCTAGACACTCGAGATCATATATATATCGAAGGTCTGAGGCTGGGCGCCAGAATGTCGGATGGCGCCAAGTACAAAATCCGGAAGTGGCAGAGGCGGGATTGGAGAACGGGCGCCAACTGCAGAGGGCGCCAACCGTCAGGAACTGGGGATCAGAGACTCCAAAAAATAGAATAGCAGCCTGGCGGGTGGTAAACCGCGGACCAGGGATCGAGCCCTGGCTGCAATGTATTGCAACAGGTACAGCATACATTTTTCTTCCAAAAAATAGAATAGCAGCCTGGCGGGTGGTTAACCGCGGACCGGGAAAAGGAAGAAAAATGTACGCTGTACCTGTTGCAATACACCCCATAAGCGTCCCTTTTATGATTGCAAAGTTACATGTGGGACCAAGAATAGGCAACCACAACAGGAAGGATCAGAAAGAAAAAAGAAAAAGAAAAAAAAAGGGAAGAATTCAGAAGGGAGTCTCTGCTACAGTGAGTGCAAGAAAGTGGGTGCATGGTTGAGGCAAGAATTGCCGCAAGATGACTTTTTTTTAAGTTTTTTTCCCTCCTTGGAATGGTTTGCATTGGAAAAGTTAAACCACGACTACCTTCGAGCCTGTTTTTGCCGACCCTCATTTTCATCACGCACCGAGTTTTGCCGAGTCTGGCGTTTGCACGGCACGACTTCGTTTTTCTTTTCTGGTACTTCTAAAAGAGAAGAAAAGAAAAAAAAAGAGAAGAAGCAAAAAAAAAAAGAAAGCATCCCTAACGCTGTGATAGCTGTCACATACATTCTATGAGTGGTAGTGTGATTGTGCCCTTTGGGAGGGCGTCTGTCTGAGACACAAGAAAAGAAGCGGAAAAAAAAAAAAAAAAAAAAAAAAAAAAACATCCCTTATGCCGGTTCGCAGTCAGATACACCACGCTTCAGTGCTAGTGTGAGTATGCCCTGAGTGAGGGCGTTGCTGCCACCCGTGGATTATGCCCTGCCTCGGTGGCAGGGGCACAAGGGAAAACAAGACAAGAAAAGAAAACAAAAGCAACAACATTCACGTTTTCCCCTAATGGCAGCAATATGCATTCTGGTAAGTACATGTGTGACTTGCCCTCCGTGAGGGCCTTCCACGACATGATTGATGTCGTAGCTGTCAGTTCGTTTTGTTTTGTTTTTTTTTTCTCATGTCGATTTTCTTCACAGTCACAGCGACGGGTGCCGTGCCTGCCCTGAGACGGGGAATTTCGACTTGTAGCCTACAAGATGGACTTCGCATTTGCCTGTGAAAGGTAGAGGTGGTTTAAACAAAACAAAACAAAGAAACGAAGGGCGCGAAAGGGAAACAGAAACTTGATGGAGAGGTTGGGCTCATTGTTGAGTGGCGTTATCTCACCTTTCTTGTGTATATTTTGCATCGCTTCTCCCGCTTCTTGCAACTCTTATCTGAGAGCCAAGTCTGTGGGTGATCCACGTCAGGGGACACGGGAGGTACAGCTGGTATCTCTACACCATCATCCTTGATTATCACTGCTGCCGCCTCAGATGGCGCTGCTGACGGAACACTGCCAGCATTCCTTACTTGATCTTCGAGCATGCAAGGAAGACGCAAGACATAGACCTCTTTCGGCCTGGTGTGAGAGCCCAGCAACATGAACACTCTGCGCACTTTCTCCAGTGAGAAGATCCCCGAGCGCACCGACGCCAGCAAGCCATCCAGACTCTTCAAGAACTGCACAGCAATCAAATCCAATCAAATCCAATCAAATCAAATCCAATCAAAATTATCAAATCCAATCAAATCGAATGGAATCCAATCCAATCAAATTCAATCAAATCAGATCAAATCAAATCCAATCAAGTCAAATGATCAGAGGCCAATACACACTTGTGCAAGGAACATGAGTATGGACGAAGCACAGAAATCCAGAATGCAAAATCACACTGAAGTCCAAGTAGTCAAAGCCAGAGCAGATAGCACAATGGAACGGAGTAACCAACCAATTGAGAATGATACAGAAGAATCGTGAGTCAATGTCCAAGCCCAACAGGGCAACACCAACAGCATAACCCAATGTAGCTCTCTCTTGTGAATGGCGCCAGGCACCCTATCTACTCTACTGACTAAGCCTACAACTACAGCAATGAAAGCAACCGGACAACTTGTCTACCAGCGAGTGATGATGTCAACACCAATGCCGACCTCCACCTCCACCAGGTACGTGTCCTCTTCACCCACACTCTCCCTTGTTACCCACACAGCGTCCTTCACCTCCGAAGAACCACCTTCGCCCTCACCTCCCCTTGCGTCCTATGCAGCCCGGCTATGGCCGCCAAGCACCCAGTACACAGGCAGTGCCCTATCGCCTAGCGCTAGCCTGTCTCATCCCAGCGCAGCGCAGCTCTGCACAGCGCAGCACCTCGCATTCGCGCAGAGTGCCCACAATGCCTGCATTGGCCAAGATCCCTGCCCACTCGCCCTACTTGCCTATATGCCAGTGCTGCGTGTGGGCGGCCTCCCTTCAGCCTGCGACTGGGCCCCAGTGGCTGAACCCAGCCCGATACAGTTGAGGCCCGGGGCAATGCAGTTGCGCCTCTTTCATCAAGGCCTGCGGCCAGATTCAGATAGTGGGCCGATTTCCCTTTGGCATTTTCGGCCTCTATCCCCAGCATGCATTGTCGGCCTCACGTTCAAGTGCCCAGGGCCTAACTAACTCAGAGGCCCTGGGATCTCCACATTTGCAGAGATTCAAGACTCGGTGCACTCCAACCAACTGGCGTGCTGCAACTGTATGGACCCCACTTCGGGAAATGTTTGCACAGAGGGCTCTTGTTGATTTGCTGGCCCGCCTTCACTTAGGGCGGGCACTAGGCTTGCTGGGGCCTTAGCCCAGAACATGTACATCATGGCAAGGCCCCTTCTTGAGGGCTCAATCCTCACACTTGTGTACAGTTTTCGACTGACATTGATCTGCCTTTATGAAAACCAGATGATTGGCAAAACCAAAGGACAGAAGAATGCCTAGCTGTTAGCGGAATAGCACACACATACAGAAGGGGCAGGTAACCACTGGTGCTGTGTGTGCACTAAGTAGGCATGAACCTGGCCACGACCACGACCAGAATCGTGCAAAGTTCACTCAAACACAGCACCAGTAGGCGAAAAGGCCTTTGCATGCATCGGTAAGTGAATCGATCACTTAATTGGCAAGTCAATCGGTCACTTAATTTCAAAATTCAAACCCACTGTGTGTATGAAGCTTCAAATCCGTTGGGCATACAAATATCACAACTTACCACCTAGAACTGACATGGGTATGTGCAGCGGATTGTTATTAGTTAATGTGAAGGAGAGCAGACATCTTGTCTGCAAATACGGACCTGCACAGAACCCTGCTTCAGACCATGGGTGAGAATAGGAAAAAGTGAGGGTACCCTAGTGCAACTCTTTCTTTACCCGTGGACACCCTGCAGGTAACCTTTTCCGTCATTTTGTTTTTCAGTGTCCGTCCCACAACCTTCCATCCAGCCTGATCCAGGTAGCTGCAGACAAGTCTGCACGCATCAACCTCAAAGCCAGGTGGTTGCTGACAGGTCTGTGACCTGTGGGGGACACAAACATCCCATTCGGGCAGTTGATGACCGGTCCGCATGCCACCCTGTGGAGAGCTATTACTCTGTGCTCTGTGCTCTGTGCTCTGTGCTCTGTGCTTTGTGGTCTGCACTCTGTGCTCAGTGGAGGCAGGGCCTGGAGCTGAGGGTAGAGGTGCAGGACATAAGCGACAGGCATCCCATTCGCGCAGTTGATGACTGGTCCACATGCCACCATGTGGAGAGCTATTGCTCTGTGCTCTGTGCTCTGTGCTCTGTGCTTTGTGCTTTGTGCTTTGTGGTCTGCACTCTGTGCTCAGTGGAGGCAGGGCCTGGAGCTGAGGGTAGAGGTGCAGGACATAAGCGACAGGCATCCCATTCGGGCAGTTGATGACCGGTCCACATGCCACCCTGTGGAGAGCTATTGCTCTGTGCTCTGTGCTCTGTGCTATGTGCGTTGTGCGTTGTGCGTTGTGCTTTGTGCTTTGTGGTCTGCACTCTGTGTTCAGTGAAGGCGGGGGCTGGAGCTGAGGGTAGAGGTGCAGGACATAAGCGACAGGTAATAGACGTCATTGATCAAATCCTTGTGAAAAGTCTGGCTCACTACTGACAAGTAATGTTCACCTGATTTGATATAACTTTGTGCCTTCACAGAGCCTACACAGGCTGGCAGGGTGGCATCCTGTGCTCTGTTCTCTGTGCTCTGAGCAGGCAGAGATGTTGTGCTCTGTGCAGGCAGATCATAGCCCGCAGCGCAATAGGTCTCCACAGCGCCTATATCTGTGCCCTGTGCCCTGCGCCCTATGCTCTGTGCCCTGTGCTCTATGCTCTGTGCTATGTGCTATGTGCTATGTGCTATATGCTATGTGCTATGTGCTATGTGCGTGCTCTGTGCTATGTGATCCGTGCAGGCACAGCACAAGTCACAGCGCGATCGGTCTCCACAGGCCCCACATCTGTGCTCTGCGCTCTGGGCTCTGTACTGTATTCTATATACTATGTGCGTGCTATGTGCTATGTGATCTGTGATCTGTGCAGGCACAGCACAGGTCACAACGCAATAAGTCTCCACATGGTTCTGTGGAGGCAGAAAGTGCTATCAGAACCAGACTTGCAGGAGGAGTTGTTGCCAAGTGGCATCTGATACCTGTTTTGCTTGACTTGAAACTCTACCCTCAGCTCGAGCCTCAGTGTATCATTCTTACTGGGCAGAGGGCATTAGAATGGGTCCAGGGAGGTCCTGGAATACACACAGTCGTACAGACCCTACACACTTTATAAAGTCTCCGCTACGCTAGGTTGCTGGGCTACGCTCTGTTATGCAAGACAATGATAGAATAGATTAAAGTGCACCGAGCCATGATCGTGAAATTGAAGTTTTCCAGGCTGGCAACACCATTGCCCCAGCCATCATTGAGCCCACCTGCAACATGGTGGACAAGAGGACCCAAGAGAAGGACAACAAAGAGGAGGAAAGAACTCTCTCATGAAGCATCATAAGAAGCGAAAACCTGTGCCCGGCGCTTGGTCTGTCGTTTTTTCAATAGCCAAATAACCTCCAACTTTCTTCATCGTCGTTGTCGTCATCGTCCTCCTCCTAATCATCGGCACACCCCTCCTCCTTCCCTTCCCAACCTTGCAATGCATATTGACAAGACAATCACTTCTTCTTCTTCTTCTTCTTCTTCTTCTTCTTCTTCTTCTTCTTCTTCTTCCTTCTCCTCCTCCTCCTCCTCCTTCTAATACATTCTGTTTCCTCCTCTGCCTCCCCCTCCTCCTCATCATCATCACGCCCCTCTCCTTCCCTCCCCAACCTTGCAATGCATATGCACAAAACTTCTTCTTCTTCTTCTTCTTCTTCTTCTTCTTCTTCTCTGGCCCCTGTTTCACTATTCTTCTTCTTCTTCTTCTTCTTCTTCTTCTTCTTCTTCTTCTTCTTCTTCTTCTCTGGCCCCTGTTTCACTATTCTTCTTCTTCTTCTTCTACTTCTTCTTCTTCTT